CCAACCACGCGCGCGCTTCGCGCGCGCTTAGATGATTCTAGCTAGGAGGCGAGCTTGAGTCAACGAAAGTCGCAGGGAAGGGGGCAGGGGGAAGAAGGCCAGAGAGCGCTAAAGGAAACAAATACTGGAACCCTCTTGTGATTTTGTGGGGGGCCTCGTCCGGCCGCTCGCTGGGAGTTTGACGTAGCTTCTCGGGAGCCTCTGAACCTGTCGGGGGCCTCCTGGAAGCAGGTTCGAAGCATTTTGGGGGCCGATTTGGGGCTTCTCGGGGCCTCCTTTGGGCCTCTTGGGGGTCTCCTGGGGCCTCTTGAGGGGCCTCCTTGGGGCCTCCTGGCGGCCTCTTGGGGCGGAAGGCTCGAGCTTGCGGTTCGTGGTCCCCCTCTGGGCCCCCTCTTGGGCCCGTCTTGGGGCCCTCTTGGGCCATCTTGGGCGCCTCTTGGGCCGTCTTGGGGCCCTCTTGGGCTGTCCTGGGGCCCTCTTGGAAGCTTCTTGGGCCGTCTTGGGGCGGTCTTGGAGGCCTCTTGGGCCGTCTTGGACGCGGTGAAAGCCCAAGATGCGAACATGCGAAAAATATACGTTTTCCCATAGGAATGGCACGATTTTTGTTTCTTGGACCTCTCTTGGGGTGCCTCTCGGAACGTCTTGGGCTGATTTTGGAAGCCTTTTGGCGCCTCTGGGCGGCGTTTTGGCGCCTCCTGGGATATGTTGGGCCGGAAGCTCGGAATTCGAGAGTGGCTTTCTCCTTCTGGGACCCCTCTCGAAGTCGTCTTGGGGTTCTCTTGGGCCGTCTTGGGGCCGTCCTGAGCCACTCGTGCGCAGCCTTGGAGCGCTCCCGGAGGCCTCCTAGGCCGTCTTGGAGGCCTCTTGGGCCGTCTTGGACGCGGTGAAAGCCCAAGATGCGAACATGCGAAAAATATACGTTTTCCCATAGGAATGGCACGATTTTTGTTTCTTGGACCTCTCTTGGGGTGCCTCTCGGAACGTCTTGGGGTGCTTTTGGGAGCCTTTTGGCGCCTCTTGGCGGCATTTTGGCGCCTCCTGGAGCCTCTTGGGCCGGAAGCTCGGAATTCGAGGTTGGCTTTCTCCGTCTGGGACCCCTCTCGAACTCGTTTTGGGGCTCTTTTCGGCCGTCTTGGGGCCGTCCTTGGCCACTCGTGCGCAGCCTTGGAGCGTTCCCGGAAGCCTCGTAGACCGTTTTGGGCGCCTCTTGGGCCGTCTTGGACGCGGTGAAAGCCCAAGAGGCGAACATGCGAAAAGTATACGTTTTCCCATAGGAATGGCACGATTTGTGTTTCTTGGGCCTCTCTTGGGCTGCCTCTCGGAGCGTCTTGGAGGCTTCTGGGACCTTCTTGGTGTCATGACAGGCGTCTTGGAAGGCATCTGGAGCCATCGGAGCGCGTTCCGAAGCCGCCTGCGAACGATCTTGGACGGCGTCCGGCGGTCCGACGAGCCTCCGGGCCCCCCCGGGCCCACATTTGTGGTCGGGGTCCCGGCCCCGGGCCCCCGGACCCGGTGCGCCGTTATATGTATATGCATCATCAAGCTGGCACGCGCGTACCCTAATGGGCAGGACGGGTCGGGCGGGCGGGCGGACCTTCACGGGTGGGACGGGTCGGGTCGGGCGGGCAGACCCTAACGGTCGGGTCTGGTCGGGTCGGGCGGGCCGGCGTCAGTTGAACCAGTCGTCTGTTGAGCCGGTCCCAATTGACTGTTGAACAGGTCTTTTGTTGAACTGGTCTTCTTCCCTCCCAAACCTTGCCGCCCGAAGCGCGCCAGGGGCGGCGCCAGAGGCGCCCCCAGGGCTCCTGGGACGCTCCCTTGGCCCCTGGACCGTCCAAACAGCCACCAGGGATGAAGAACCGGACGTCCATTTCCCGCGCAGTTTTCGGTATCGTGCGTGGCTTTTTCGCTAAATTATCAAGGATGCTCCTCGATGGTCCTCGCCGAGGGAATTACTCACTGTGTGGAGCCCCCCTTATGTGCATCTCATGTTCTATGTCACGCCAAACTGGGCGTCTGTCATGAGCGCTTGACTATAATAGCGCGTCCACATGGGCGACAAGGCCGGCCGAAAACTAGTGAATCCTAATGCGAGTGTGTGAGTATGACTCACACTGAGCATTGAATACGATTGAATATGAGCCTCCCAGTCACTCCCCCTCCTCAGTTGCCAGGCCGTGCCCTCCTTTGCCTGTGGTAATGTGCATATGTTTTAGGATACTTGGCAGCGGGATATGTAAAACGAGCGCTTGGCCACGCAAGGCCATATGTACGCATCATGTCGTAGGATAGCGCCACGGCGAGCATTTGTCCATGATGGTTGTTTGCTCCACGAGCGCGTCCATGTGAGCGGCGAGCACGCGCGCGCAGCGCGGCTGCACATCCACCACGTGCGTGCATTCATTAACGTGCATATGCCCGCGCATCTTGTGTTGTCAAGGCAAAGAATTCCTTCGCGTCCGAAGCACCAGGGGAAGTACGAATGACAAGTGCTTCAAACGGCACATCGCGACCTGCACCTCAGCTTTAAGAGTCCGCACTTCGCATCGGGCCTAGCTGGCAACGCAAACAGAAATCGCAGGTACATGAAGTGTGAAAGACAAGTGCTACAAATGGCACCCTCGCGGTTTGCGCCTTGGCTTTGGCCGTCCGCACTTGGTCGGCGTCGGCACGACCCGAAGGACCAGCGCGCATCCCCCTCATTTCCTTCCTCCGTGCGTCCCAAAGGGTACGCGCCGGAGCACGACCCAAGGGGCCAGCACGCCTCGACTCCTTCCTCCGTGCGTCCCCGAGAGTACGTGCCGGAGCACGACCCAAAAGACCAGCACGCCTCGACTCCTTCGTCCGTGCGTCCCAGAAGGTACGTGCCGGAGCACTACCCAAGGGACCAGCACGCCTCGACTCATTCCTCCGTGGGTCCCAGAGGGTACGTGCCGGAGCGCGACCCAAGGGACCAGCACGCCTCGACTCCTTCGTCGGTGGGTCCCAAAAGGTACGTGCCAGAGCACGACCCAAGGGACCAACACGCCTCGACTCCTTCCTCCGTGCGTCCCAGAGGGTACGTGCCAGAGCACGACCCAAGGGACCAGCACGCCTCGACTCCTTACTCCGTGCGTCCCAAAGGGTGCGTGCCGGAGCACGACTCATGGGACCAGCACGCCTCGACTCCTTACTCCGTGCGTCCCAGAGGGTACGGGAGAACGACCCAAGGGACCAGCACGCCTCATCACCTTCCCCGCAGCATGAAAACGAGCAAACCGCCTGAGACATTCCCGCAAAATGGCCGCGAACTGGCCCGTGTCCTACCCCGTGGCGGCTCTCCTTCGGGATGCTGAAACCAGCGCCCCGCCTGAAACATCTTGAAAAGCTGCTCTGAAAGCCAAGGACGTTGGGCATGAAAACAAGCAAACCGCCTGAGACATCCCCACAAACTGGCCGCGAACGGGCCCGTGTCCTACCCCCTGGCGGCCCCTTCTACGGGTGCTGAAACCAGCGCCCCGCCCGAGTCATCCTCAGAATCTGATTTGAAAGCCCAGGATGTTGGGCATGAAAGCAAGCAAACCGCCTGAGGCATCCCCACAAACTGGCCGCGAACGGGCACGTGAAAATACCCCTGGCGGCTCCCCCTAGGGGTACTGAAACCAGCGCCCCGCCTGAGACATCCTCACAATCTGCTCTGAAAGCCAAGGAAGTTGGGCATGACATCGAGCAAACCGCCTGAGACATCCCCACAAACTGGCCGCGAACGGGCACGTGAAAACACCCCTGGCGGCTCCCCTCAGGAGTGCTGGAACCAGCGCCCCTCCTGAGACATCCTCAAAATCTGATCTGAAAGCCAAGGATGTTGGGCATGAAAACGAACAAACCGCCTAAGACATCCCCACTAACTGGCTGCGAACGGGCCCGTGAAAATACTCCTGGCGGCTTCCCGTAAGGGTGCTGAAACAAGCGCCCCGCCTGAGACATCCTCACAATCCTGAAAGCAAAAGATGTTGGGCATGAAAACGAACAAACCGCCTAAGACATCCCCACAAACTGGCCGCGAACGGGCCCGTGTCCTACCGGTTGGCTCCTTTTAGGGGTGCTGAAACCAGCGCCCCGCCTGAGGCATCCTCAAAATCTGCTCTGAAAGCAAAGGATGTTGGGCATGACAACGAGCAAACCACCTGAGACATCCCCACAAACTGGCCGCGAACGGGCCCGTATCCTACCCCCTGGCGAATCCCCTTGCGAGTCTGAGTATGACTAGGTCTGAGTATGAGTAAGTCTCAGTCCGTGCGTTGAGCAACTCAGACTATGAGAAGGTCTGGATGTGTGTAGGTCTGAGTATGAGTAAGTCTGTGTATGAGCAGGTCTGGGAACGAGTCTGGGTATGATCAAATCTGGGTATGAAGGAGTCCCAGCATGAGTAAGTCTGAGTATGAGTAGGCCTGCATGTTGTGTGTTGAGTAAGTCAGACCAAGAGAAGGTATGAGTATGAGTAGGTCTGAGTATGAGTAAGTCTGTGTCTGAGCAGCTGTGCTCTCTCTGGAGTCGGCGGCGTCCGAGTCATAACAGGAACCACACCTTAGGATGCGGGGAAACATTCACACGTCCGAGCGATGCCAAGCAGAGGCGCCCCCCGGGCTCCTGGGACACTCCCGGGGCCCCTGGACCGTCCAAACAGCGCTTCGGGGTGAAGAGCCCCGCCTGCGTGCCGGAGGACCGCCATGGGCGGCGGTCGTGGCGTCGAGCGGCGGAGCACCGGCCCACCCCGGAGCGCCGAATGAGGAGGGACAGGTCTGCGAGCGGCCTTCCTTCTCGCCCCCATTCCTTCTCCTCCTGGCTCGGGGATGGACGGAACCCCCTCTAGCGAAACGTGCTTTGGTGAAAACGGCCTCGGGCCCAAACCTGGCGGGCGCAGGCCTGGCCCTCTCGAGAACGGGAAACAGACAATTCACGAATCGACGTGTCAGGGCGGGGGTTCTGTCCACCCCGGATTGGCGGCAAATGGGTCCCACCTTTGAAGCGGTCGCCGTTCGAGTAGATCAGCTCGCCTGGCGTCGGGCAAGGAGTGGCAGTTCCCGCAGTCAGCTGGCATGCCGAGCTTTCAACCCCCTGCTCCTTGCGACGTCGGCGAAAAGACTCCCAGGCAAGAGCGGAGGCGGATACAGACATGAAGAACGCGAGAGGACTCGCGAGGGAGCCCGCCTTCACCCTCCTTCTTGGCGTCGCACCAATCCCCGACGAACTTGTCGCCGTAGGTATAAATCAGCGTGCCTCGCGCGCGGTGCAAGGGCAAGCGAGACGGAGGTGCCCACAGGGCCGTGGCCAACGAGTCGCAGCAGGCACTCCCATAGATACAGGGAATACCAACCCGGTACACAGATCAAGCTTCTGAGACCTGCTCGGATTTCTTCTTGGGTCGTCGTTGGACCCCCCTCCCTGGCGCGGGGCTGAGGGCCCCGTGGACCGGGACATGGCTAACCAGGACTTTGAGAATCCCACCTGGCGAACGAATAATGAAGAATGCATCGACCTACGGCTGCAGCTTTCTCGGGCGCGCCAACGCACTGGCTTACCAACGTCCCCACTTAAGGGGGCCTGAAAATCGCGCCAAGGGCGGCGCCGACGGCGCCGGCAGGGGGACCCGAGGAGCCGCAAGAGGGCCCCAAGACCCCCCCAAATGAGCCCCCAGTGTGCCCCAAGAGGCCCCACAGGGGGCCCTAAGAGAGCCCTTGAGACGGCCTTCGTCGTCCTTCAAGGACCTCTCACAATAACCTCCGATTTCTCATCCTTGTCATCGTCCGCTCCTTCCCTCTTCCTTTCCTGCCTCCTCCCTCCTCCTTCTCCTCATCTTCCTCGTGTCGCACTCCTCCTCCTCCTCCTCCTCCTCCTCCTCTTCCTCCTCCTCTTCCTCCTCTTCCTCCTCCTACCCTCAAGATGGACCCAGGAGGTCGAGCATGGCTCACGATAGCCTCCGACAGACCTCTAAAAGGCGTCAAGACAGCCACAAAGCAGTCCAAGATAGCTGAGCATGGCTCAGGATAGCCTCCGACAGCCTCTAGCCGAACATGCCTCACGATAGCCTCCAACAGGCCCCCAGAAAGCCTCCGATCGTGTCTGGATGGGCTGGTAGGGATACTTTTTTGGGTCGCGGGCAGACGCGTGAAGCTGCCGCCGAGAGGGGGGTCCGGGGCACGGGCCAGCCTAATTAGCTACTGAGCGACGCGCAAGACGGCCGGGCCAGCACTCAGACTCAGAAGCGGCGGCTGAGGGGCAGCTGCTGGTGGAACTTGCTGGGTGGTCTGCCACGCCCAGGAGTCCTGGTAGGGATACGCGAAGCGTCAAGAGTTCCACCTGGAAAACGACGAATGGAGAATGTATCGATCTACGGCTGCAGCTTTCTCGGGCGCGCCAACGTACTGGCTCATCAAATTCGCCATCTAAGGGGGCCTGAGGAGCGCGTAACGGGCGTCGCTGGCGGCACTGGCCGGGGGGACTCAACGCCGGTCCAACAAATCCGCGCGGACCTCCGATAACATTATGCTTGTTACTACTTTTCCCCTTCGGAGGCGGACGTGGCGAGCGGACATGCGCCACAGGAGCTCGGCGAGAGAGAAAGGGAGAGAAGGCGGGAGGCTCAGGTTGATATCCAGCGCGCCCCCACCCTCTCCAGAGGCGGGCGGGTGCACCTTCTCCCCATGATCTAGGTCACCCACCTTCGCGCACCGCATCCCAAGATCTTCGCCGCGGGGTTAGCTTCGCGCCCTCGCGAGGCCGCCATGGCACCACTGCATCAACAAACGTGGTATTCCCGCCTTAGCATCTGCCAAAAGTGGCCCCGTCGGGATCCATGTATTCCTCGGCATTCGACTCGGGGAATCGAGGGGACTCAACTCCATGGTATGGGATGTGAGGGAGGGATATGATGTCAGACATGACACGAACGAACCTATATTGTCTCCCTCCTCTCCCGTCCCCTCTATTACCCTCCATCTCCATCCCGCTCTTCCCCTCAGCCTCCTCCTCCACCCTCTCCTGCTGCTTGTCCTACTTCTCCCGAAGGGTAGCCCGTCCGACTATTGAAATAACCGTGCCGCTGGACACGGAGTGGGCGCCAAACACTCCCGAGGAGATTTTGAAGGACCCGGGACCCGAGATTGCCAAATCATTCGGGGTTTGGCGCCGCTCCTCCTCCTCCTCCTCCTCCTGCTCCTGTTCCTGCTCCTGCTCCTCCTCCTGCTCCTCCTCCTGCTCCTCCTCCTCCTCCGCCGCCTCCTCCTCCTCCTTTGTTTCGGACAGAGGGCCCGAAGACGGCCAAGAGAGTTCTGGGGAGGTCCCCAAGACGGTCCAGGAGGGCCTGCGAGCCGCCGAACGATCGTTCCATGACGCCCAAGACGACCCCAGGACGGTCCAAGAGGCATCCAAGACGCCTCAACAGGCTTCCAAGATTCCAAGAGTACTCCCAGAGGGCCCGAAGAGGTCAGCATCGCTGATTTCCCTTAGGCTTTTGCAAGATCTTGGCGTTTTCCGGCGCTCCAAGACGTCCCAGAGGGTCCCAAGACGGCCCAACAAAGACGGCTTCAAGAGGGGACCCAGATGGGGACCGAAACGGACATTTGGAGCCCTCGGCCCCGAGGGGCTCCCAGGAGGCTCCAGGAGGCCCCCACGAGGCCCACGAAAGGCCCCAAGAGGCGCCCACGAGGCGCCCAGGGGGCGTCCAAAAGCACCCCAAAAGGCCCAAAAGAGGCACCAAGAGGAGGCCTCAAAACTGCCTCCAAGAGGCCCCCGAGAGTCCACCCACGAGATCCCAACGATCATCAAATAGGATTCATACCCACAACCCAGACACGGTGGCGGGATGGGCCGACGGCATGTACGATAACTTCAAATCTGGGAATCCAAAAATACATACTTTCAACAAGCCCTGGGTATGAAAGTCCTTCCCCCTTCCTACACAAAGGGCCTTTGGTGGTGGGAGGAAGCAAATACCAGAGGGGGAGCGTACCGAGCGGGCGGCAAACTGAGGCGGGGGCAGGGACGGGCGCCAGAAGACGCCTGGCGGACGCGGCTGATCTTTGCCGAGGGAGCCCCGACTGCAGCCCCAGGTGGGCTCTCTCCCCTCATCCCCTGAAACATAAGGAGAGGAAGCAGATCGTGGGCGCGCCGAAGTAAGAGGGGGGGCCACGAAGAGAGGTTTTTGCGCATCATGGTCCAAAGCATCTGCACCGACGAGGGCGAGGGGGGTCCACCAGGGGATTACACCGGGAGATATCATGCCCCTGGCCATGATGATGCCCCCCCCCCCCGAGCGATGCAGGAGGCAGGGCTTGGCAGGGGGAGGAGTGGTGGCAAGAGGCATGACGTCTGACAAAAAGGATGGGAGACAACAGGGCGTGGGCAGGAGCGGCTTGGGGCCCTGCATATGGGGCGCGGCGCGGGAAATTCGCCTTGCGCCCGTCGCGCGTCCTTATGTGTGTTGCCATCGTCCTCGTCGCCCAACTCGTCCTCCGCCCCCTGCTCCCGCTCCTCCTCCTCCTCCTCCTCCTCCTCCTCCTCCTCCTCCTCCACCTGCGGGTGCTGGGGAGAGGGCTCTGGCCTGAAGTGCCCCCCCCCAAACTCTCGCACAGCTCTGGAGCCCCTGCAGCCCATCGTCGTCAGGTCTGCGATCGGCCCCCGATAGCGAACCCGTACCTCCCTGGGCGGGTGAGCTATATCGAGCCCTAGTCCCCCGAGGCCCGATAAAGGGCCACTAGAGGCCGACCGGATCGAACACCGCCCGTCGCTGTTTTTGTGATTCCTTTTTTTGGAGGAGGAGGAAGAGGGGGGGGGGGGGAGGAGGAGGAGGAGGAGGAGGAGGAGGAGGAGGAGGAGGAGGAGGAGGAGGAGGAGGAGGAGGAGGAGGAGGAGGAGGAGGGGAGCTGGGGGAGGAGGAGGAGGAGAGGAGGAGGAGGAGGAGGAGGAGGGGGAGGAGGAGGAGGAGACCCGAGGGGGTCTGGGGCTGAGGACACCTCTGGCAACAACCGATTGTTCCCATCGGGCTCGCGTGTCCGAAGGCCACTTGCGTGGCCAGAAAAATTCGGCCAGGCCCGCGGCCTTTGCCGTGCACCTTGTCTGCCTTCCAGAACCCGTCGTACTTCTCCCCGTTCTGGTACGTGAGGGTTCCGTAGCCCTCCTCGCGGTTACGGGCACACCGTAGGCGTGCAACGCGTACGCGCTTGCAGCGACAGGTATTGCTGACAAATATATCCCCTCAGCGATCTGCTGCCCAACCGAGTACTTGGATTCAGCAGGCAGCGCGCCAGAAACTGATCGCATTCAATCCCGAGCCTGGCTCTGCTTTTTGGGTGAGCAGCGAACCAACAACAGAAGGGGGCACTGACCAGGTTCGGCTAGTAGCATTGATTTCGCTCGACATGTCTGCGCAATTGATTTTGGTTCATCGGTCCAAGTCGCTTCCTGTGAGAGATCGGTCTGGCGATGCCCTTTTAATCTGCCACCCCCTCCGAACACGCGTCGCAACCTTCTTAACATTATGTCGATCATCCCCCGCACACCCACGCCTTCGAACCAACCGCATGGCTTCGATCTGCCCCCAATGCGAACAGATGGCTTCACTGCGAGCAGGCTCTGCCACTCGAAGCATCGTGGCCACACCGCTGCGACATGCGCTCTCGTTAGAAGAAAACAAAACTACATACACATAAACTTTTGGCGCTCCGCGCGGAGCGCGCCAGTGGCGGCGCCGCCAGGGGGTCCCAGCGCGGATCCAAGAACTCCGCGCGGAGCGCCAAAAGTCTATGTTTATGTGGCTTCATCTTCTTCTTCTTCTTCGGCTAATGCAGATGCACATGGAGGTGGCGTCCACGGGGGGGCGAACGTTGAGCGCGCCCAGGGTCATCGCGAAAAAGGCCTTTTGAGAGAGCAACGGCCCCTCAAAAGAAGTTATGGTGCAGCAGTGTTTTTGGATGGTAATATGTCTTGAGAGGAATTCAAAAGACTTGACATATTTGGAGAGGAATTGAGAGACACTGAAATATAATTTCGCAGGGGCGACCCAAACTGAGAGAACTTGAGACAAAGAGGTTCGTCTGTTGCGAGAAACTCGAACACACATTGAGATAAAGAAGGTCACCTGGTTCAGAACAATTGAAACCGCTGCTGTTGTGCAGCCGCGTGCGTTTGGCTGTGTGTTTGAGCGCGCTTGGTTGCATTTGAGCGCACCTTGGTCCACTCAGCGGCGGTTTGATCGCCCCCCCCCGTCTCCGCCACCTCCATGTGGATATGCAGGAGGCTCATCGTGTCCGGGGCACTGGACTGAAATCGGGCCTGTCCTCCTACCAGGGGACTTTAGACGGAAACAAACTACTCAAACAACATATACCCCCATATGTTAACAAAAATGATAATAGAAAAAAAAGCTCGTCCTCTGAATATGTTTGACTATTTTTGCATATTCCTCCTGTAGAGGGACGTGCCCGACTTAACACTGGGCCAATACATCCTGGGTCTTTTATGGAACGGCGCCGCGGGTTTGACTATTTGCTCGCTGTCCTCCTCCGACGCGCCCTTCGTCCGAGAGCGGGGAGCGCAATACCTTTGCAGATGACCTCCCCACGGGTCATTCGCTGGCCCCTTTCAGCAAAGCCTCGGGTGTCGTTCATGCACGCAGTATGTAGGATCATCCAAAACGCCCCGACACCAAATAATGACGAGACCTATTCACACCTGCACCCTGCCTCAATACCCCTGTAGGTCGCTCCAAGCAATCACACATCATGCACACATCAACCCGAATGTGCGAATTGCATGACTCTTCGTGCATGTCGGCCATGGAACTTGAGAGCGCTTGCAAGGTGAGGGAATGATGGATTACCCCGTCGGTGCCGGTGACGGTTACACTTCTTCGGACGCTGAGGTAGGGTGGCGCTGCCTTCAATGACACGCTACCTCTTTCGTAATCAGCATGCGCCCACAACTTGCCGTCATAAAACAACCGCGTGCAGGAGCGTGATTGCCTGTCGCACAAACCAAAACCTTGCTCGGGACTGCTGGTGGTAGCTGTGGAGGTGATGGGCAACGGCAGACGGGACGAGGAACATGCCAGACATGAGACTCAGACGCAAACTAACGTCCTTCATGTCGTTCACCCACTCGCCATCGTACGTGTTCCCGTTCGGAAAGACGTAGATGCCCTTACCATGCATCTTGCCGTCGAGCCAATCGCCCTGTGACCGTCCGGTTTTCCGCTTCCTCAATCGAACTGCGGGCCATGGCTCTGAGTCCCACCATATTGCTCTTCGCTGTACGCCAATGGCAATGCGTAGTCTGGACTGTACAGTGTGGTGCTTGAAGGTCTACTTACTTGCCCCTTGCAAAACGTCACATGACCCCGTGGTCACGCCCCGACACTTTCCAAACCTCCACAAGCGTTCGCACGTGTCCCCAATGCCTCCCAAGCGTCCGAAGACGCCGACCCAACCGACAGCCGCCTGAAACCGTTCTAACTCTTCTGGCCTCACTGTGAACCTCGCTTGGCGGGCCCTGTACAACCGACACGTTGCCATGAGGATCCTTGGATCAAGAACGAAGCTCCTCTTGGGCCTCAGCTGCGCCTAGATGCACAAAAACTCCATAGACAAATCAAGGCCGTTCAATGCGACAATACAACATAACACCGACCGAACCCACACCGCAACCGAAACCGTCCGCGACCGACCGAAACGAACCTACCAAACGCATCCGGCTGCAACGCCAACGAAACGCCCGAAAACGCGTACACCCTTGACCATCCATGGAAGCTGGCGGCGCCCACAAAGGAGGTGGTGCGAGGGGGGGCCTTCTAAGAAGGCGGCGGTGCGTGGCGTCTGAGAAGGCAGGGGTGCTTGCTAGAAACCCGCCTGGCTTTCGAGAAGCCTTCGTAGAAGTCTCCGAGGCCTTCTAGGAAGGCCCCCCGCCTTCCTAAGTAGCCCCGCAGAATTCTCAGAAGAAGGCCGCCCCGCTCGCGCCACCCCCTTGTATCTGAAGACCCGCCATAACGAAACGACTGCAACACCGTGAAACATCACGACCAGAGCCCGGACCCCAGGTGTCCGCGCAATTGTGCGATCCAGATCGATCAATCTGTTGAGCAGGAACCGACCGTCCTGGCATTCCTATAGGCCTAACACGACATGTTCTCAGAACCCAGACATGTTCGAACAAACAAAAAAAGGTTCTTAGAACATAAGCCCGCTGTCTCAAAACAAAACAGTCTCAGCCAGGCATGTTCTAAGAACATTTCGTGGAAGCCACAAAAGGTTCTTAGAACATTACTTGGTAGGCCTATGGGGGCGAGCCACGACGCTTCGCCTCTGCTTGAATCTGGGAGGGTCCCGGGGCCCGAAACCGGGCGACAGCACCCGGCTCGACCAAATCGGGCGCCGCCAGCAGGGCCCAAGTGAACGTTTGTTTATTCGGCGTGTCTGCACTGGGCGGAAGGGGGAGGGATTGGGCGTGGCTTAATGGGGGGGGCATACATGGGGGGGTCAGAAACGGTCCCCTCTCGTGCCCCTTTTCGGGCCCCTCTGGAGCCCCAGGGGGCTCGTTTAGATACTGTTTGGGTACCCGTTCGGACCACCCTCGCCACCCCCTCAGTTATGACCCTCCCATTACGCAACGCCCAAGGGGAGGGGGGGGGGGGGTCTGGCTCCGGACCTCTGCTTAGTGCGACTGTTTGCACGAGTGCGGCCTCTGGGGGAGACTCCGCCTGCTCGAGACAGGCGCCACAAAACAGCCGAGATCTACTTCATTGGGGGGGGGAAAGGGGGGTGCGAGGGCACGCGCCGATCGGCAAAACAATGCCTAAAACATCGAACACCAGCAGGACCCAAGGAACCCCGAGGCCCTCTGAAAGCCAAAGTGCGCCTCGACCCCACAGGCAAACTTCCGCACCTCCCCCGCGGGCGCAGTCCCAGGCTGGGCGCCCGCGCTGCCCCTCCCCGCGCGCGCGCCCGCCTCATACACGCCCTGGTCCGCGTACTGGTACTGGTGGCCGCTGTTTCGCGACGTCGGCTTGGGAGGCAGATCCTGAAACCTTCGGCAGAGAGATTCGACGGTGGACAAGCCGCCCTTGCGCAAACCACGCTTTAGCGACAACGGCCTAGGACCGAAACCGACGGACCTGGACCCGCAAAAATGACGGCAGCGACGCCCTCCTGCGAACCGAAAGCGGCCAATCCGCGGATCGGCGTGTCAGTGTAGGAGGTCTATCAACCTCCGAACAATAGAGGGCCAGAAAGCCCGATCAAGGGGCCATTCTGGTGGATCAGTTCGGATTAGGCCCGAACTCAGGCCGGATTAAGCGGGAATCAACGGGATCCAGCGGAATCGTGCAGGATTGGGGCAGTTTTCGACCACGGATGCACCAGATACACTGTAGAATCGGCTGGCGCAAGATGGCGTGCTAAACCACACCCAGCAAACTAATTCGGGCCTCAACACCGTCTGCTTACGGACCACGTGTTGACCCCAGGATTCTAAACGACCCCGCCGCGCGGTCCGTCACCACACGGCTTTGGGACCCGAGGGCCCGGGTCGCCCGAGACGTCCTCGGGGAACGGCCCGAATCCCACATCCGTGCGGTGAGCCCGAATCCCCACCTCACCACGCGGCGTGGTCACCACGCCGCCTGGGGACCCCCGGACAAAAACGAAGGCAAGACCTGGACAGAGTCGAAGCGGGACGTTCGGCCAGGTATGTCCCGCCTTGGCATCCACAAACAGACCCCCTACCCTGAAGTCGGGCGTGTCCCCCTACAGGGGGATTTTGGAAGAGTTTTTTTTTTTTTGCTTAAAACAAAAAAACTCAAAACATGTTCAAAAGAAGTTAAAAAATAGTCCCCAGACTTTTGGAATATTCCCCCTGTAGAGGGACAGGCCCGACTTAACCCCACCCCCCAGGGAGCCCCTGGGCCCCGCGCCGATCCCAACAGCGAGGGGCAACGGTAGCGAGTGGGGGGACTGGCATGGGAGGGATGCGTCGGCCTGGAATCGGCCATACATCGCCGAGGGATCGGCGGTATGCCTCCGGATCGTGAGCCCGCACCTTCCTGGACGGGTTGGGGTTGTCGGGCCCGTGTCGGCGATCAATGGGCGATTGAGGATCGATGCGTCCCCCCTATGCCCATCCCCCCTATCGTTGTCTCTGAAGCAACCCCGCCCGACGGCAGCAGACAGGCGCGCCGCCGCATCGGCGACGTGGGGATGCGCGGATTCCCCTGGGGCCGCGGGCGACGCGAGGAGGAGGAGGATGAGGAGGAGGAGGAGGCGGAGGAGGACGGAGAGGGGGAGGAGGAGAGGGAGGAAGAGGAGGGCAGCCTCGAAGAGGGGGACTCTCGCGGGAGAGGGCGGCCGCGACCGCGGGGGCCGGGCCCCCCTACCGTGCCCGCGACTGTGGACAAGCCGGAGACGAGGACGGGGGGCCCTGGGCGCCGGCGCGGCCGCCGCCCCGGCCTCGAACGGGGCTTCCGCATGCGGCACCGCCGCGGGCTCCGCCAGCGCCAGCGAGGGCAGGGTCCCGCTGAGCGAGAAAGGCCTCGGACCGACGCCCCCCCCCCCATCCGGGCGAGTCGGTCCGTCCTGGACCCCCCCTCGGGCGATGCAGGACCTGCCCACGTGAGAAAGCCCCCGCCGAAGCTCCCCCTTTCGGGGGCACTTTGAAGGCAGCGGTCCACGCAGGGGCGGCATTCCAATTGGGGGCCGGCGGTAAACCGTCGCGGCGAAGGCGGCGGCGTGCTCGGGCGCAAGCCCGTGCGCGAGGGCGACCGCCGCGCAGGCGTCCGCCTGGGAGGGCTCCACCGCGGCGCCAGCCGCCTCGGAACCAGCGCGACCGCAGGCCGCCGCCGCGCCAGCACCGCCACGGCCAGGGCACACTGGGCGGCCACCGTCGGCCCACTCGTCGTCCAGCTCCGCCTCCTGCGAAGTGTCCAGCGGCATGAGAGGACGACCAGCAGCAGCGACACCACGACGTGCAGCGGCAGGTGCGGGGCGAGGGCGAGGCGGCCCAGCGGCGAACGGTTTGGGAACGGCACGATGGCTTGAGCCAAAATGGCTTGAGCCAAGATGGCTACGGAGGAGGAGGAGGAGGAGGAGGAGGAGGAGGAGGAGGAGGAGGAGGAGGAGGAGGAAGAGGAGGACGGGTCGCCTAAACCCTTCGGTGAAACTCCCCACGTGGGGGTGAAAACTATCGGGTTCCAGATCGTGCCGCACCGCCGGGGCATCGGCGGATGCGGCGCGATCCTCAGGCCCGATCTGCGCCGGGCCTTTTGTGGGCGGCCGGGGCGAATGCAAGGAGGGAGGGGGCGGCTGGCGAGGCGTGATTGGCTTTATGTTGCTCCCATCGTACAGTCGGACTTGATTGGAGAGGACACGCGCGCGAGAGGAGACGAGACTCTTCCGGAAGCCACATTTCCATATGAATGTAGAAGCATGGGTCGCGAGGCACAGGACACAAGGGCACCCATGATCTGCGCACCCAGAAAAGTATCAAAACAGCGTCGAGCGAGTGTCGCCTCCCGGGGCCCGACGCGCGGGAACCCTCCAGTGTTGGCACTCTCCTGGTGCTCGACATGATTGCTGGTGGTCAAGGCTGAAGCCACCAGCTTGGAACATCCTAAGACTGGCTGCGGACAGGGTGCCGCAAGCGACGGGCGCGTCACCGAGAAGGGGAATGCACGTCGGAATCGCCAGACGCTCGAGCAGCCGCTCCGCCGGCCCCTCCGGCGTCCGAGGGCCGTCCTTCTTCAGGGCCTGTCCTCTGCGCGCACTCTGAGCGCGCCTTCGCCTCATTCCCGCTGGGCTCTTCGCCTCGCTCACTACAGTCGGGGCGCTGACCTGAGAAACTCTGGATAGGGAGCGAGGCCAAATTTTTTCCCCAGGGTTGAGCTTCGATGCCCCATGGGAAACCTTCCGGAACCCTCAGGCAAACTGCACAACAATCAGGTAACACCGAGCCCCCTCCCCAACAAACAGGGTTCCTTCTTCAGCGCCCCGACTGTGCCTCATCTCTACGCCCCCTCCGTCGTCGTCGTCGGCATCGTGGTCGTGGTGCGTCCTGCTCTGCCCGGGACTGACTTCCCTCATGTGGTGGCCACTACCAACGGCCCTGCCGCCCATCCGGTCGATGTTCAGCCGACCGCGTTAGCAAAGCAACGCAAACGCTCTTCGGTGCGCGGCGAATGCAACCCTATAGGAGGAACACATCACGGCATGAACATACTTTATCGGAGGTCCACGCGGATTTCATCAACTGCCCAAGAGCGACCCTCCCCTCCCTGGCGCGCGGAGCGCGCCAGGCAGGGGCGCCGCCGGAGACGCCGCCAGGGGGGCCCAGCGCCGATCCTAGAAATCCGGGCGGAGCTACGAGAAATGGTTATGCAAATGTTGCGTTTCGATAATATGGGCGCAACGAATGCAACCGCAAAATCTCACTCGCCGATGCTCAACTGCCGTCACTCACTTGCCAATTCCGAATGTTGACTACGAAGACGCTCCCTCGTCTTCGGACTGGATCAAGCGGGGGGGGCACGGGTGCCAGCCTATCGCAAGACGCTCTGGAGCAGTGTACGTGGACTGATGGCTGCGAATGCCCAACACAAATGATATATGCTTTTGTCAGATAAGCAACAGACGCCTGAGCAGCCGTGACTGCGACTGCGTCTGGGCGGTCGTTCGAGTCATCGAACCTGTGAGCACTTTGAGACTCCTGGTGGCCCCAAGCGTCCAGGAATCGTCATTCTAAAACTCCTGGTGCCCCAAACGACGAGCGATCATCACATTTGGCCGGCAACGCTCGCAAAGGTAGGGCTGTCGTCGCCATCCGACCGGCCACACGCAAGAGTGACCTCTGGTGGGCAGCTCTCGGGGGCCAGATCCATGCTCGCAGGCCATTGCTGGGGGGGAGCCCCGTGGGGCCCTATGGGCCCGCACTATCACTCCGCCGCAGGGACACTCCTCCGCGTAGCCGATTCTACCACGGAGGCACGGCTTAGCGTGTGAATGCCTGCGGCCGCTCGAAATGCCAGGACTGTCGTCTCTTTCAGGGTATCGCTTCGGCCCCTGTCCCTATCAAGCGAATGCCGTCCCGTTGTAGCTCTTGGTGCTCGCAGGCGAAAAACTGCGGTATGTTGTATTTGCTTTACGCATATGTGTGGTCGTTCACTTGGGCTTCTATCGTTCAGAGTTCGCGTTCAAATTCAGGCGGCCGTTCGAATCATTCGAACGGCCGTCGGTCGCTTCTAAGCTCTCGTCTCCCCCGAGCGTCGAGCAATCGTATGCATGTGACTCTGGCGAAGCTACAATAATACAACACAGCAGAGTGGAGCGGGGTGGAGTAGGGCAGTGTAGAGAAGAGTAAATTACAGAAAGACATTACATAATCCATGGAGTACTGTCAAGCCGTACAGTAAGGATGCGCGGTAAGGATGCAAGGGCCTTGGACGCCCATGCCGAGGCTTTTCAAGCGGGGCTGGCCTTCGAAAGTGGTTGAGGATGGGCCGAAGATGACCGAAGAGGCAAGGATGCAAGGGTACCCTTGAGAAGGTTGCCCATCCTTACTGTGCGTGTGGACTGTAGACCAAAACAGTGGAGGGGAAACGGGAAATCGTTGAGCTGACCATCACTAGAGCATGAAAAAGCAGAGTTCGATCGCGCAGGGTTACGTAGAAGGAGGGCCTATGACTGTGGATCGAAAGCGGAGCGGGGCAAAGTAAGAGCACGGTGGAGTAGAACCAACAGAGCAGAGAAGCGTCACTGCTCCGTAGCGCTGCTTCCCTGCAACTGGCTGTCTTCCTTCCTGCATTGATCCTTGAAGACAAAAACTACACCAACACAACTCGCAACTATGCACAGACTTCTTCGATCGGGGGAGCGCGCCCGGGGCGGCGCCGGAGGCGCCGCCTGGGGGGACCCAAGCGCTGATCGTAGAAAGCCACGCGGAGCTGCGGATGTGAATGTTAACGCAATTATTCCTTCTTCGAGGATCGGCGCTGACGGATGATGCCCCTGTGTGCTGGAACCTCCAGCGTTCACACGAGGCAGGGCCCACAACTGGACTGACTCCAAGCAGGTGGGCCTCTTGTTCCGCCTCTCTTCACACGTTGGCGACGTGCCGGTGTGGGACGTGAGAGTGGGCAGGCCCTCTCAGAAGGCCAGAAACATTTGGTGGGAGGTCAAATTCGCCTCCAGGAACATCCGCAGATCATCCGAGCAACGACGGTGTTGAAAGTTCATGGGGCTGGACACATGTTTGGCGCAATGCAAAATAACGGCGGGTGACCGACATGAAGCCGCGAGCGCAGGCTCAACGCAACAGAGAGCAGAACGCACACACTGCAAATCAGGCCGTGTGTCATTACAGAGCAACTGGCAACGTGCAGTCACAGTGTGACCGCACATCAGGCACGCATGAATCCGCGGGACCCCGCTTCCCAGGAGGGAACATTTTGATCCGCGGGTCGAGAGAGAGAGCCTCTTCCGGTCGAAGCCAAGCGGGCCGCGCATATATTTAACTGACAGAGGGGGGAAGGCAGAAGGAAGGGCCTCACGTCAAGGCCAAGAGAGGCAAAGCCCCGGAATCAGGCGGTGCCAAAAACGAAGTGCTTGCAAAAGAACGCCTTGTACAGGAACCCGGTGGCGAAGTACCGGAAGAAGCAAAATGCTGTGGTGGTGCCGTCAGCGGCGCGTCATGTACACCAGCCTCAAGTGGTCGTAACCCCCCCCCAGGAGGGAACATGCGTGCGAGACAAATGGCTGTCCCCCGTCCCCCTCTCCCAGAGGACCTAAGGCCGAACCTTCCACCGGAGGGGAGGGGGTGCTCCGAAGCCCACCGAACCTCCAAATTCGCCGACCGTCGCCCCCAAGATGCCCACGAGGCTGTCCAGGACGCACAAATCACAGGATCCTCTATATTTTCCCATATCTTCGCGAACGCAACGAGAGCAACGGACACGCCCAGCTAAAGTCTGGGACCCCGGCCGGATTGCACCGGTGCGATCTCGGGGACTGCCAACCTTCTCCACATTGTTTTGAGTGCTTCCGTGTTTCCGCGCAGGCGGGAAGAGGGGAGGGGAGGAGGGGAGGCGCAGGAGGAGAAGAAACAGGCGGAGGAGGAGGAGGAGGAGGAGGAGGCAGAGGAGGAGGAGGAGGAGGAGGAGGAGGAGGGGGAGGAGGAGGAGGAGGAGGAGGAGGGCCTGCGCAGGCCCCACGCGGGCGGGGCGCGCAGCCCCCCCCGGACCGCACCACGGCGGCCCGGAGCACAGCCGGCCCGCACAGTAGGGTGCGCGGTAGGGCTGCAGGGGCCTCGGAGGGTCGCGCCACCGTTGCGCGAGCGAGGCTGGCCACCGGGAGTCGCTGAGGATGGGCCGAAGGGGCAAGGATGCAAGGGTACCCTTGGGAAGGTTGCCCATCCTTGCCAACTGTGCGGGTTGACTGTAGCCATCGGTCGGAAGAAGAAGGTAGAAACATGAAGCAGGAAGGCGTTGGAAATAGATTGGGTGTCCGCACGCCTCCTGAAGAGGAAGGAAGAGGGAAAACCACTCGACTCTTGAAGTAGGAAGGCGCTGAAGGTAGATTGGAATCTGGGAATCTAAAAATACCTACTTTCAACGACCGATGGGTACCCTCAAGCGCGGGCCCGGAGACCGCCGGAGAGGGCCCCAGACGGCTCCAGAGGCCCACAGGACGACCGCGGCAGAAAGTGCAGAGGGTCACAGGACGGGAAACTCGCCGGGCCCTGGGGAGACCTCCCTGACGAGATGGTCGACGAGACCCCCAACATTGACGAACGAGCAACACACACCCATACCCATAAGGGGGTCGTTGGGAGGAGGACTGGCTATGGGTATGGGTGCGGGTTGTCGGACCCTGGGGAACGCTCCCGTTCGAGCGGGGAGCCCCATCCAACAACGCGCACCCATAGCCCTCTCCGACCCCTCTATGGGTATGGGTGTGTGTTGTTGGTTCGTCAAACATGCCCCCAAGAGGACGCCCTGAGCCCCCAGGAGCCCTGAAAAGGCTCCCACGAAGGCCCCCGAAGCCTCCACGAGGCCACCAAGAAGCCCCGCAACGAATGCGGAGGGAAAGGAGGACAAATACAGGAAACGGCAAACAACATATACTGAACCGGAACCCGCACAGATCTTCTTCTGGGAGTCGGCGGAATGGCGTAAGCCCCTCGAACCTATAAGTACGACCGCCACTCAAGGATTTTCCCTCAATCGGCCTCAGGAGGCATCAAGTGAATCACTGGGGGAGGCAACGCGCAACTGGGCATCAGAGATTCGCGCGTCCGCGACGAGGGGAACGGGGGGGTAGCCTCCAGCGTTCCCTCCACCCGATTGAGACGGCCCCCGAAATCAACGAGTCTGCTCGGGGAGGACAGGAGGGCGGTCTAGGGCCTCGCGCCGATGGGCGAACCTGTCCGTAAAAGAATGATCTGCAGGCCTCAGAAGGCCTCCTCCTGCTCCTCCTGTTCGTCCTCCTCCCTCCTCGTCCTTCCGCGTCTCCTCCTTCTTTCTCTTCCACTCCCCAACGTTCCCCAAGGGATTCCAAAACTGCTGGGGGAACACATGGTTTCATAGCTTGGCCAGGCTTCGGCCCAACATTTGGCCGCATTGCCGATTCCAAAAAGCGGGGGGCAGCGTTGACACGTCGTAGGCGTCTTCGAGGAAATAATGCTCACCAACAAGTGCAAGAAGGCACGCTACGTACTTGGAGTCTACGCGCTGGTTTCAGATCGCTTCACCGTGTCTGATGGCTTTCACCATGGACACGCGGGCTGCAAGAGGAGAATCGGATTACCAGACCAGCGGAAAGAGTCTCCTTCCCCTGCCCATGCATCTTGCCGTTCATCCAGTCGCCCTCGAACTTCTCCACTACGCTGCCCCGTGCGCTGACCTTAGAGACCAGGAGGGCGAGGGGTAAGACATTCGCGCATGGATATGGCGTGAACCCCTCCTCCTCCTCCTCCTCCTCCTCCTCCATCTCCTCCTCCTCCTCCTCCTCCTCCTCCTCCTCCTCCTCCTCCTCCTCCTCCTCCTCCTCTCTCCCCCATCTGCAGTGGGCCCCAGCGCCAGAGGAGCTCGCGTGCACCGCCGGAGGAGCGCCAGAGGAGCTCCGCCCACCCCTCCCCCCGCCTTGGGCCGCGGCGCCGCCGGAGCGCTCGCGTGCACCTGGGCCTCGTGGCGACGACGACGACGACGACGACGACGACGAGGGCGACTGGGAAACGGCGACGACGACTGCGCGACGACGACGACGACGACAACGACTCCGACCATCTTGCGCACAGGTGATCTTACAAGCTGGTCTGACTTCATCCGCTTCTCCCTCTCCGTGGCACCCGCCCGCCAAGTTTATGGACCAGCCCCTTCTTGGGGGGCTTGTTTTCATACCATTGTTCTCGAAGCGCCGCTGACGGCACCACCACCGACTTTTCGCCTCCTGGGACTTCGCCACCGGGCTCCTGTCCAAGGTGTACCTTTTCCTGCACTTCAACTTCAGCACCGCCTGATCCCGGGGGTTTGCCCTCTCATGGCCTTGACGTGAGGCCCCGCCTTCCTTTTCCTTCCTCTGTTAATTAAAGCTGTGCGCGGCCCGCTTAGCTTCCAGCGGAAGAGGTTCGCTCTCGACCCGCGGACCAAAAAGTTGTCATACCATTTCCTGGGTGAAGAACTCAGCAATGAACTCTGCGTGTGCACCGCGCCGCCCTGGCCGTCATTCGAGCCATCGCGCCCGCGGGCAGCTCGCCAACTGGAGCAGATGGCGACGCTGTCTGGGGAGCGAACGCCGTTCCTCGCCATCGCTCGGACGTCCCTTCCCTGTGTTTTTTCGGTTTCGTGCGTGGTTTTTTTCGCCAGATGATCAAGGATGCTCCTCGATTGTCCTCGCCGAAGGAACCATGCACACGTCCGAGCGATGCCAATCGTTCCTGAATTTTGGGGTTTCTGGGTCGTCTCACAAAACACTGTGAGGATATATCGAGCGAAAGCCCTGTCGTCGCAGCTGGGCGTTCACCCACTTGAATGACGTGCAAGGGAGTATCGGGCGAGAGGGCCATTCCTGAGTGCGAGACTGGATACGGCCAGCGCGCACGCGAGTAAATTAACAGGAAGTATCAAGCGGCAGCCGTTGTCGTCGCAGTTGGGCCTACAATCGCTAGACTGAATTATGATAAAATCTTGGGCGAAAGCGCCGCGGGCGCATGTGACCATGGCGCGCGTGAGTAACTACAAAAAAACATAAGGCGGCAGTCGTTGTTGCCGTAATTTGGCATTCACCAACCCAAGCTGGTTGCGGGGAAGTGTGAAGCGAAAGCGCCATTCCTGAGAGCGGAGGAGTCTTCTGACTAAGGCGCTTTGGAGTCAGCTGAAGGGACGTACCGAACGGTAGCCGTTGTCGTCGTACACGATGAGGGCGCAAGCGCGCCCTCGAACATGAATGCAAGTTTTACAAACATATACGCGGCGTCTAGGCGAGCGCGCCCAGAACCGATTCAATATATCAAATATGGTATCACTTCTCTGGAACGGAATATTCGACGACGGTGGTGCCCACGACTGCACGACGACTGCTCGAAAACGACGACGGCGCGAACGCCGACGCAGACGACAAAGCTGACGACAACAGCGATGACGACAGCGACGACGAGGAAGCGACGACTATAGCGACGACGACAACAAACGATGACGACAACGACGACGACGGCCTTTGACTGCATGAGTGGACGACGGCGACATGGCGACGACGCACACGCAGACGCAAACGTCGACCAAGACGACGCCGACGTCGACGGCGGGTGGGAAACGACGACGACGACGCAGACGACGACGACAAAACGACGAAGAACACGAGCACGAAGACAAAGACGACGACGACGGACGTCGGCATCGGAGGACGGTCAATTCGACGACCTAGTCGACGATATTTCTAGCGTCGGCTCGTGCTGCCAGGCGTCGAACACGGATGTGATAAGGGTCAGTAAACAGGAGGAGGAAGACGAAGAGGACGAGAAATAGGAAGAGAAAGAAGGGGAAAATGTCGGAGGTCGTTGTCGTCCAGTCGTCGTTTTCGTCGTCGTCGTCTTGTCGTCGTCGTCTTGTCGTCGTCGTCTTGTCGTCGGCGTCTTGTCGTCGTCTGCATCGCCGTCGCCAAAGCATCGTCGTCGTCGCCCCGTCGTCGCGCACGCCGTCGCCCAGCCGTAGTTGTCGTCGTCGTCGATGTCGAGTTCCAACGGCACAGCGCGCTCGCACCCCAGACGCGACTGTGATGCGCGACAAAACCGCTGGAGGCAAGCAAACTGCTTCGGTACGAGCACGTGTAACAAATGCAGACGCCGTACACATGGAGAAGCAGCATGGTATGAATCATCGCACGTGCATCAGAAAGCAACGACAACAGCCCCATCAATACCAACACTCCACTGACTGGAAGGGCTCCGCTTTAGTAGCACGCGAAAGATCAACACACGCGAACGACGGTAACCGCGCCACCAAGCTGACCGACCCGACACGCACCCTGACTGTTCCAAGCCCCTGGGGGCGAACGGTGGCAAGCGTTGCTCCATGGGGATAATGCGAGAACGCGCAGACACCGAAAGACCCCAAGCTGTCGGCGGTATGACGTAAGCCTTAGAAAGCTTCGCACGTGCATCGGAAATCAATGAGCACAAACAACGAACGCATCAAGAAATTTGATGGCGACACGAGCCGCGACCGTACCGCGAGCACGATCGACGAACATGCCACCCGAGCTCGCGAGGCTGAGGCCGCGACGTATGTAACTACGCCTTTGCCATGACCTTCGCCAAAACAGAAGCGACTGATGTAGAAAAGAGACATGAGAGACACACATTCTGGTTACGTGCTCGCACGAGTGACCTATGCCGCGCAGCTCTCAGGAACATATGTCGTGTCCTGATCCCCAGTGAGCCCGCACCAAGGGTTACTCTGGCGAAGGGTCACCCTCACGTGGAGCCGACGAGAGTCCTGCCCAAGGCCTCCAATGCGTACCCCTGGTGGTGTCCCACGCGGCGTCGTGGAGGGCCCGCCTCGGGGCCTGTCTATTCGGGGGGGCGTCAAGGTGGGGTAGCGCCAGAGGTGGGCATAAGAGGAAAATCGCTCTGGACAGCCCCGGGAGGAGCGAGATGACAGCCTGAAACTGGGCTCGCTCCTAGAGGCCTCCCATATGGGATCGGAATACATGGGGTTGGGAGATCGCGCCGCATCGCAAATCCATCACCGATGCATCCGCGACGTCGGCGGTGCGATCCTCTGACCCCATCTACTCCGATCCCGTCTGGAAGCCCTAGAGCTAGGTCGAGCATGTCCCCCTACAAAAGGAATTCGCACAGCAAAACAAAACAATACACCAAAAATGCTCAAACAATAAATCACAATACTGTGAACAAGATTTCCCATATTTTATGTTCTGACTTTTTTGAATATTCCTCCTGTAGAGGGACGTGCCCGACTTAACCCTAGAGTTCCCTGACCCCACATCTGGCAAGCCTCCGCCACACTGGCCATCGCTCGGACGGCCGTTCCCTGTTCTTTTCCGGTTCGTGCGTGATTTCTTCGCCAAATGATGGAGGATGCTCCTCGATGGTCCTCGCCGAAGGAAACATGCACACGTCCGAGCGATGCCAAACACACGTGCCCCCGTTCCGTGGGCCAAGGGGGCCGGCCAAGGCCCAGCGCGGGCCCCGCGGAGACGCCAGGCCGAGGGCTCACAAAATTGGCGGCAGCGGCTGGCGCTGGCCCTCGTCGGGAATCTTAGAGCCCACTGCGCATTCTTCTTAGGCCGGGCATGTCAGGCGGATTTTGGAGGACAAATAAAGCGTATGCAAAACATACTCCCAAATGATATAACAAAATAACTGACAAACAGTTTCCAGACTATTTTTTCAAATAGTTTTGAATATCCCTCCTGTAGATGGACGCGCCCGACTTAACATTATTCCCGATAACGCCCGTCACCAGCCCCCCGCCCCCCCTCCCTCCCCTTGTAACGCCACGGGTCGTGTCGGCGCCGTCTGGGAATCAGGCGCCGGCGCGAATCGAGACGTCACCGGCCCCCTCCCCGCATCCCGGGGAAACGCCCGTGGCCAGGGGTATGAACAAACTGTCTCTCTGAGCATCCAAACGGCCCCCCAGTTCTATCGGCGTCTGCGGAAGGTGTGTGGGGTGTCCTGGGTTATGTTGTCCCTATCGTGCTGAAGGACCACATCCCAGAAACCATCTCGAGCACCCAGAAAAGTATCGAAGCAGAGTCGACGGAGCATCGCTTCCCGGGGCCCGACACGTGACAACCCTCTAGTTTCGGTACTTTTTTGGTGCTCGAAATTATTTCTGGTTTTCAGGCCTAAATAAGGGGAAAACAAACCTACCTCGCTTTTGACCACCCTCGCTTCCAAGAGATACCAAACGATGCCAAATTGCAGCCTGTACTGGCCAGGCCGCTTCACGAGGAGGCGCGTTGCATATGGCTTGGTTCTGCCTGGAAGCGAAAGCGGGGTAGGTAATTCACGCTCTGACTAACGTAGGCTGCACCATCATAAGTCCTGGGTTCGGCGCGGCCAGGGCGGCGCGGCCAGGGCGCGCGGCGAGGGAGCGCGCCGGCGGGCCCCCTCGGCGCGAAGGGGCCCCGTGCTTCGCCCTCTGCGGCTTCGGGGCTCGACCACCCGGGGCGCATCCCCTGCTGGGAGGCACCGCTGGGGCACCTCCTCCCGCGGGGGCCCTGCGCGGCCCGTCGGCGGCCTCGAGGTGCCTCGGGGATGGTCCGCTCCGTGGTGCGCGGGCGGGCGGGGACAGGGCGCAGCGGGCACACAGTCTGCGGCGGCCTGCCTGGAAGCCGTGCGAGGTGGGGGACGTCATGCCCCAAAGGAGCACTTGAGGGCTCTTTTTTTTGGCCCCCGCTGAATCTAAATGGGGCCCTGAAAAGGCCCCGTTTCCTCCTTCACCCCACATTTAGGCCCAGTAGGGCCCCCCCATAACGCCGCCCAGGCTGCGTGCGGGGGAGGCCATGCCCTGGTGGCCCGCTCCCTGGGGCGCGGGGGCACCTTGGGGAAGGACGCCACAGGGGGCTGCCGAGTGGTGGTGCTGCGCGGACGCGGCCGCAGGACCCCCCCACAAATTCGCGCGCGAGGTGCAACTTAGAGGGGGGGCCCAATGCACCCTGAGCGCAACAGCTTCCCAGCGGCCAAGCAAGAGGCAACCGCGCGGCGCGCGCGGCAGAAAAACTCGAAGCACCCTGACGAAAAGGCATGCGGCATCTCGATGCGCGGCCCCACTGCTGGAGACCTCTCACATGAGGCTGGAGCAAATTGTGTCGGAGGATCGCGCGGCATCGCCGAAACATCGTTCGCTGCTTAGGTCGGGCATGTCCCCCTACAGGCGGATTTTGGGTGAATGCAAATTATTCAGGCGAATAACCCAACCATATGCATATGTCAATGCCGCGGTGTGGGTACCGCTCTCGGTGGATCTCCCCACGGGGCCACGACCCTCGCGACGGGTGTGCCGACATGCGCGTTGGGGGCGCATGCGGACCCTGCCGCGGGGGCCTTTCGGTGGAGCTCCCTATGGGGCCACGATCCTCGCGAGGGGCGTGCCGAAATGGGCGGGGGGACGCATGCGGACCCGCCGCTGGGGCCTTCGGTGGAGCTCCCTGTGGGGCCACGATCCCTGTGGGGCCACGATCCTCGTGAGGGGTGTGCCGAAATGGCCCTGGGGACGCATGCGGACCCTGCCGCTGGGGCCTTCGGTGGAGCTCTCTGTGGGGCCACGATTTTTGTGAGGGGTGTACCGAAATGGGCGGGGGGTCGCTTGCGGACCCTGCCGCTGGGGCCTTCGGTGGAGCTCCTTGTGGGGCCACGGTCCTCGTGAGGGGTGTGCCGGAATGGCGGGGGGCGCAGCTCCCTGTGGGGCCACGGTCCTCGTGAGGGTTGTGCCGAAATGGGCGGGGGACGCATGCGGACCCTGCCGCTGGGGCCTTCGGTGGAGCTCCCTGTGGGGCCACGGTCCTTGCGAGGGGTGTGCCGAAATGGGCGGGGGGACGCATGCGGACCCTGCTGTTGCGACCTTCGGTGTAGGTCCATATGGGGCCACGATCCTTGTGGTGCGTGTGTGTGTGTGTGTGCGTGTGTGTGTGTGTGTGTGTGTGTGTGTGTGTGTGCAGAAATTGGCGGGGGGACGCGGACCCTGCCGCTGGGGCCTTCGGCGGAACTGCCTATGAAGCCAAGAACCGCGTGAGGGGCGTGCCGAAATGGGCGGGGGGGCGCATGCGGGTCCTGCAGCCGCAGCTTTTTTTTTACCCGTGGCCGGGCTCGCGCCGCGCGTGCTCGGGTTCAAGCAGCCGCGCAGCAGGCGGCCGCGGCAAGCGGCCGGCGAAAATCCAGGGGAGCCGAGCGGCAAAAGGACGAGCGAGCCAAAAGGGCCGACGCGCCGCCGCCAGGCCAAGACCCCATCAACACCGAGCCTTCGCCATTGGCGGCACCCCAAGCTGGATGTTTTGGACCTTCTCAAGGCGATGCTGCAAACCACGAGCGCTCTCTGATAGCTTGCATACAGCGGTTCCCTCGGAAGTGGTTCAGCACGGCGGCGGAAAAAGCGGGGGGGGGGGGGGGCGCGGCCTTGCCGCCCCTGGCCGCGTTTGCGGCGCCGTGGGCAGCGGAAGCACGATAGACCAGCGAGCCTAGCAATGCCCAGTACGTCCGCTCCACAGGCCCCCCCAAACGAGGCGGCCCCGACACGCCAAAAGCATGCCGTAAGCTCACGCGGGAAAAGCAACACGCTGCTTAGCAATCACAGCCCTCTGTGCTTGCCTCCCATCACCCTCGCGTCGCAAGGGCAGCGCGTGCAGATGCGATAATCAGATATGGTGGCGAGGACATGCTCGCCACTCGCTGCTCCCGGCTCCCTTGCGCCATCACCTGTGGACGACGACGCAGCGAGGGGGCCAGAGGGGCAAACAAGGTTCCCCGACCAAGACCGATCGGGCGGGCCCGAGCGGCCAGACGAAACATCACAACCTTGCGAGACGAAACATCACAACAGCAGCCAGACGAAACATCACCGACCGGTCGCACCGCTGAAACTGGACAAATCGGCTGGCGCACTCGCTCCGCCGTGAGCACCCCCCAGGGCTTCTGCAGCGGGGCTAGGAGGAGACCCGAGTGGCCCCGAGGCGAGAAGCGAGGCGGGTCCATCCACGACGCTCGCGCCTCCAACCGAATCCAGGCCACACGGGGCTCCAGCAGCGGGGCTCTCGGGAGCGCGCGCGCAAGGTCCAGCAGGGGCTTCAGCAGCGGGGCCCACAGAGGCCCCGCTCACACCGGCGGCAACTTTTCCAGCCGATGCTGAGCGCACAGGGCCCGCTTGCCCCAAATGCTGCCGACAACAGGTGATCGATATCTTGAAATCCTTGGCCTTTGGCAGCACAAGGCTGCCGTCGCCAGTGGCCACAGCATCCGTCACCTGCACCATGGCCCTCGCCAGAGCGGCGATGCCCACCGCCGCTGCGGCCGCTGTCGCCAAGGCTGCTCGGGCAGGTCGCTTCTTCGAAGTACTGCCAGAGTGCGACGGAGCGCACGGCTTGGGCACGCGCGGCTTGGCCAAGAAATGCGCTTTGACGTTGCTGCTGTGCGCGGTCTTGAGGCATCGCAAACAGTGAAGCCACCACTCGGAACCTCGATGGCCGCCTCGTGAGCCGCGAGAAGCAACATAATATTGCTGACCTGCAAAAGTGGCCTTCTCGTCCGAGATGTCAGCTCTGCCATCGGCAGCCACGCCGCCAGCAATC